CTTTTCTAGTATTATAATTATATAAATGTTTAATTAATTGTTATCATTTGTTTAGGAGGACTTGCGTCGTGCAAAGCATAAAAAACAACCTATTATTGATGAGGATCTGACAGAATGTGATGATGATCCCATCTCTATGTTGTTAGCCGTATTACCACGGTTGAGGAAGAGACCGTGTCGGATACAATGGGATGTTAGAGTGTTTGGAATTGACAATTCCGGTGTTCCATTGTACATTTCCTTGCCCGATGCTTTAGAAATTGCTTGGGGAAATTGCATGTTAAACATTTCCATCATACAATTGTGGGCAATGTAAGTCATTTTCATTTATGTTTCTAAGATTATAATAATTATATTCAACTTATAATTAATTGTTTTAGGTACCTTGACAATTTGAGTGTGGAACAAGAAAAATCCGAAGTGTACGGATTTATTGAGCCTCAATCCATCCAAAAATCCGGAAATACAAAGGTTGGAATCCAACAATATATGCAAACATGGATGAGTGACTCAAGAAGACATATATATTTGGCTCCATACATTGAAGGGTTAGTATTTTAATTTATATTTTAATTTATATTTTTGTAACTAATTTTTATGTCATACAATGTAGGTCCCATTGGCAGTTAATTGTAATCATGCCCCGGGATTACACTCGTGGTGTGGTTTTGTTCATTACATCGGAAACCGAGTCAAGAAATGAAAAGCTTATTACAAGGGTAAGTTTATCTTTTATTCATTAATTATGTTTTTAAATTGTGAATACATATTAAATAATATATGACTTTTTTTCACTTAGAATCGTGTCTCGGAACTAATGTTCTAAGTGGAAAACCTAGAACAAAGACTTTGCGAGTTCATTTATCCTAAGGTTAGAAACTTATTTATATAAGTGAATACCATAATTATTGTTTGTATTTCAATTTTGAAAATAATATTATGTTTTTTTCATCATTTCAGTGTAATAAGCAAACTGACTCGTTTGAATGTGGTTATTATATAATGTATTGGATGAGAGCCATAGTTTGTGCGGGTTTAATTGATTCTTGGACGGAGGTAATTACTTTTAACATTAGTTAAGTTTATTTAACTTTATTCATGTTGCATGCTTACAAGAGTCAAATTCATGTTTCGGGTATTTCAAGATCCATCTCCATTACGAGAATCCGAGATTACGGAAATTAGAGAACAATGGGCAAAATTTTTTGTTCAACAATTCTAGTACATTATTTTTTAAGTTCTTGTTCATATTATATTGTGTGTATTATGTAGTTTAGTTTAGTTTGTATAGGTAGCTTAGTTTGTATAGGTAGCTTAGTTTGTAATAGATTTTTTAGTTTGTATGTTTGTATTATATTGTTTTATTATGTAGTTTGAATTATATAATATTATATTTTTAATTTACTAGCTAAAGAAAAGCTGAACCTCTGGATCTGTCTGGATTACTATTTGCGGGTTTTAGTTGTAAAACAGAATAAATAAACCGAATTTAAAAAAACAAGTAAATTTACGTCGCATATTGGTATATGCGACGTAAATTTACGTCGCATATTGGTATATGCGACGTAAATTTACGTCGCGTATACCATACACGACGTAAATTTTCTGTTTTTTTTTTTAAAATTGAAAAGGTTTTTATTGTAAATCTACGTCGGATCTTGATAAGCGACGTAAATCTACGTCGGGCAAAAGGGTCCGACGTAAATTTACGTCTCCCGCTTTAACGTCGGACTTAAATACGACGTAAAAAGCCCTGAATACCTGACGTAAGCCCATTTTTGCACTAGTGGTCTCACATTTTATGATATATATATATATATATATATATATATATATATATATATATATATATATATATATATATATATATTTTAGATTACTTTATATATTATCAATTGATTTTATATTATATTGGAATTATAATTTTGAAAACTAATAAAAAATATCATGATCAAACAAATATTTTATAAATGAGTTAATATCTTAAGAATTTCACTTATTCTCTTCTAGAACTTTAAAAGATTAAATAATTAACATATATTTAAAAAATATTTTTAGGAAAAAAATTAGTATTTATGCACATTAAAAATAATAATATGTAGATATTATATAAGAAAATTTATATAAATTAACTTATTCATGAAGTAATCTTACTTTATATATAAATTCATTTATTTATTTATTTTTCTCATTATTTAGGTATATATTAATTTATGGATTAAAATTATTTATAATTTGTACATATATGTAATAATCTTTAAAGTTTCTGATAAAATATTTATATTTAAAAAAAGTTATTATTACAAGAATATATATATATATATATATATATATATATATATATATATATATATATATATATATATATATTGTTATTGTTGATGGTAATGGTAAATTAATCTTAATGATGCATAGGGTTACGTAGAGGAAGATGTGATGATGAGTGAGAGATAATGAGATGCAGTCAAAAGCAGTGAAATGGCAGACCAGATTCCATGCATACCATGAAATTGAGAAAGTTAAGAACATCTTCTTCATGCTCCACACACACCCACTGCTTAAAAAGCAGTAACTATTATTTTTAAATATATTACTAATTTATATTAAATATTTTTAGGTTTTTAACGTGTTAAAATATTTTTTTTAATCTTTTATCAACAAATATTCTAAACACATTGAACTCTACAAAATTTATATTTAATTACATTTATTGTAGGAAATTAAAATTAGGACCACTCTTAATTTTTTCGACACTAAAATTATAATTAAGTCAGAAATTTAGTATTTGTTTTAAAATTAATGTTATATTCTCATGAAATAACTTCTGTAACACTTTACATATAAAATATGAAATAAATAAAATTATATATATAAACTTTTAAAAACTAAAAAAAAATACTATTTTCAAATGCAAGGAGTATTTTTTTTTTTCAATTTTAATCATTATTATTAATACTAAAATGTATTTCCTCCACTCCAAAATAATAATTTTTTAGCTTCTTATTTTTCTATTCTAAAACAGTTTTTCCTTCTAATTTTCTAAGTTTTTTTTTCAACAATATTCTTACATATAATTAAAAGTAACCAATAAATAATTATAGTTTACATTGAAAACACACACAAGAGGAGTTCAAAACTTGAGAATATTTCTATCTAACTTTGACTTAATTAAGTATTTCTTAATCAATATTTCATACTTTTGAAAGACCGATATTTTTTAATTGAGAAAGTAATTTTTTTAAGTATGTTGTTAATGTAGCTGCATCAGAATATCTCAATCTTTCATTTAAATTTTAGTTAAAGTAATGTTACCTTCGTATACTCTCTTCGTTTCTTCTTATTAGTTGTTTAAGGTTTATATTTTATTGATTAAAAAAATAATTATCTCATTTATATTACAAATATTTCTCATTTCATAATATGCTCTTTATCTTTAATATATTATTTTCATAGGTATTAATTTATATCTTTATATCTTTTTCTAATATGGATACTGTTAATAATTAATATTTTGATCCCTTTTGACAAAAATCTTAGGTAAGTTCCTTCTCCACGATATAAGAACTTGATTAAAATTTAATATAAGGACTTTTATCAGAGAAAAAGCTACGTATAAACTAATTTTTAGAAGTTTGATATCCAAATTTTATTTTATTTCTTTAAATCGTGCATGAACTAATTTTAATTTATGCTAGGTTTTGGATGTTTTATCTTTAAATTTTAAATTTTTAACTTGTGCATAAACTAACTTTAATTTATGTTCTTCAAGTCTAAAAAAAAATTATCCAAGTAAATCCATAAAAAATTTAAATGAAATAATTTGATATTAAAAATAAATTAGAATTAAAAACTGACAATAATTTGTTAAAATTGAAGACTGGGTTTTAAAAGGGGGTGAATTAAAGTTTTAACTAAATGGATGAATTATTTTGTGTTCTGAAAGACTGATGGGGTGATAATAAGATGCTCCCAACTTGTCTAGTTTCCGAAGAAAATACTTTAATCCCTCATTTCTTCTCAATCCTCTATGTTTTTGTGAAGTTGGGCAGCACTAAATCTCCTTATTGAAACTCATGGAATACCTTTCTAATTTGCATACTTCACGATGGTTTGAACATTCATCAAGTTGGATTTCAACTGTGCAAGAACCAGATCCTCTGCTGAAGAAAATCTTGTAAGGAAAGAGGATCCAAGTCATTCCAGGCATAGCCATTCATAACTGACAAGCATTCTGTGGGAAAATCGGGTGAAAAAGATTTGACACCTGTTAAGGGAAGTGTTTCCAAAGGTGCAAAAAGGGTGAGAGTACCATGATGGGTGTGCTTACGAAAAGTTACCCAGAAATGAAGGCATTGTCTTACACTACATCTTGGGAGGTTTACTGTTTTGGTAGTGCCATGCTCAATTTAATACTTGCAACAGTTTAATGATTAATTGCCACAGTATTAAGGAAATGGAGAGGTTTCTTCATCCTCTCAGCCAAATGATTAAACAAAGAAAATATGTATAACTATCAATATGCACAAAAAAAAACTGTATAATACATGTATAAAAAAATGGATAATACAAATATTATTCATCCGAGAATAATACAGTTCTAGAATACAAAAGTACAACTTTTAACAGGGGTTAAGGAATCCCTTGAGGGCACTTCCTTGATGAGCCTGTTTCAGAATTTCTATTTATACAATAGGTTTATCCGCAGAACTCTACAGTTGTAAGCCCAATCATCCAAACCCTAGCAAGACCGGAAGAAGGGAAAGCATGAAAGAAAGTCTATTCTGTGCTAGGAAATGGGTAAAACGGGAAAAGAAAAAGGAGGTAGAAAAGGTCAAATATCCACATGAGCATACACATTTTGTAGTCAATTTCATCAGTTATATGCAGCAAAGAGATAGAACATTACCCGTCATTCAGTATCGTCACCATTCGACTATTCATCGAAAGGGTGTTAATACGACTGATATTGCAAATGACCACTGCCAAGCAATGCCAAAATCTCATTTGGATGTTGAACCTTTTTGGAGATCAAAGATGGTGCGGTACTTCAGTCCGGAACCTATATGGTTTGCAGAAGGCCACAGCCAGTTAAGAATATTCGGTCCCAAAACCTGCAGCAATTAAACAGAAACTCAAGTCCATACTTCATGAATGCAGCTGCCAATTTTGTTTCCGATAGAATCAAGAAAAACAGCAACAGGAAAACAATGAAATAGTAGGGACTTTCATATTATTTTCAGATAACAGCAAATACAAAAGGAAATGACTCCACAGAAGTATGCTCCTATAGAGAGAAAAGCTCTCCGTTCATAACAGAAATTTCAGAATCCCAAGGATGATCCCCTCTCTCTCCAATCATTCCTTATATTTATCCCATTCACACGTTCAGTCATTTGGTTACATCATTTTCCACCTCATGCACACCCTTCTCTCGTTTTCTTTTTTTTTCTCCCCGCAAACACTCTCCACACCTTGGGCCTTCCCTCTATCTCTTGACCCATATTCCCAGTTCTATCAATATACCCCCCATCAAAATGGTACTTGCTCTTAAGGCTTTAAATGAGGAAATTGACATTTGATGCTGAATTCATCCCCCCACCAGGCCCCTGCCATTGGATTAACAATTGCCTCAGATTTTCCCCTTTACTTCATAACACGCTAAGCTAAGCTAGTACTGATTCAGGTTCCACTGGGACTGTTGTGTCTACTTCAAGGGGAAGAGACTCCTCCAAATTGATGTTTTCTATCACCTTTTTAATAGTCACATGAAACACCAAATGTATCTTAGCAAATTCTAACAATTGCAACTCAGAACCTACCATATTCAACACTTTAAAGGGTCCCGTTAAAGATCTTATATCAACAAGAAATATGGTCAAATTATAGTATATAAGTGGGGTGGGGTCAAGCCTCACTTTATAAACCGGTTTTGTAAGGTAAAATTAAATCTAAATTCAATTTCTAATATGGTATTAAAATGAAGGTCACAAGTTTGACTTTTCACCACTAAGAGGGAGATTGTTGCGCATTGTATCAATTGTCCCATAGTGGAAGCTAGATGTATTAAGTTATAATTGAATTGTCGTGTTTGGCTTACTTTGCTCTTAAGTTAAAAAAAGGTTGTGTCCTAACTATTAGCTAAAACTTTTGACTTAATTGTAAACGTTTGATATCTGTCCTAACTAGATTTAATATATCTATTCCACTATCAAGTCACTATTAGACGACCCACAAATATTCAATCTCATAGACAAATGAAAACTGGTATTGTACCAATACATAGCCCAAGGGAGCCAATGCAGCCAAAATTTTGGTTGATCTAATACAAAACAACCAAGGACTATTTTTAAACATCGATTAACAACCTTCAAATGCCCATACATTTGTGAGTGACAAGTTGTGCTCATTTTCAATTTTGTTCCCTGAAACTTAAACAACTCCTTCCAAAATATTGACAAAAAATGAGGTTTCAAACACTAATGATAGAAGTTGGATCACTATAGGACATAAAAGCCCCCGAATCCATCAGACAATCATCAATTGCCCCAAACCATCAAACAGTTTACTGTGTATTAGTATTATCATCAGCTAAACCAATCATTAGTCAACCCAAACCATTAGACGGTCTGCTATGTAACATCATCAACTAACCTAATCATCATTCAACCTAAACAGTCAAACTGTCTACTATGAATAAGCATCAGATAACCATCACCAGCAGATCTCCTCAGTTGATTTGAAACTCTCAGCTAAACTATATGATTTGATGCCATCACATTAGCTACTTCCTAGTGTCTGATTGCACCATTCATGGATTTTATGATTTCAACATTAGAAGAACCTACACAACAACATTCTAATGATTAAATGATTTGTAAGCAAGGTTAACGGAAAATATAGTGAACCCAAAGATCATTTACTAAAATATATCGAAAGTTATATCAAGTTATGGTGGAAGCATCAAAGACAACAAAAAAATACAATATATACTTACAGATAAATAAAGAAAATTCAGAAATATAATCACACAACTAATAATAATAATAATAATAATAATAATAATAATAATAATAATAATAATAATATAATAATAATAATAATAATAATAATAATAAATTTAAAGCAAAATACAACCAAGTTGAACTGCCTTGCTCATTTTTATTGGATAGTGGATAATAAACATTTGAGGGATTCAGTTTTATAAGGAATCAGTATTGAGTAGAGAAAAGAAGAAAAAAGAAAAAAGGGGGAGACTAAGAGCACAATCAATAAGGTATGGGGGCTAGGGGAGTGCATTGAGTGGGGATAAGTTGTGGTGTTGCAGTGGTTCAATAGTTGTGCTACATGGATTGATAGTGACGAAAAAACCGCAGGCAGGCAGCAACAGAACAGGTCACATGTTGTAGAAGAACAAGCCTAGCGTCACCACTACAGTGACTATGGTAGCTAATTGGTTTACATTTTGGGTTCTTGCTTGTTTAGGGTTTAGCTTAGATTTTTTTGGGTTGGGTTTGAGTGCAGTATACAACCAAACCCCTTTTTTTAAATCTATCAGCCTTGTTAGGGTTAAAGGACTAACGATTAGTTTTTAAAAAATTGAGGTTTCTTGGTTGAGTTAAAGGACCAAAATTAGTTTTACAAATATAGGCTGCTTTTGTCTTTGAGTCTAGGTAGGGCTGCCCTATACCGGAGTTCTTTTTCATTTCTAATGAGACATGGGGCAACACAGTGGGAGCCGGGCACAATTTCCATCACTACTAAACCGCGGTGCCATTTTGTAATGTCCAAAGTGGTCACGATGAGCCCAATGAAAATTTTGCAACCAAATTCCGCCATGCCGCTACCATGGCCATTTTTTTAATAAAAGTAATCATACTTTACCTCATATGAAAGAATTAGTCAAACCAATTGATTTTAAATAATCATTGAGTTAGTTGTACTATAATCAATCCAGCAAGTATTCTATTAAAACTGACTGCATTATAAATACACATTCTCAAAGCAATTTAAAATAAACAAAGAGAAAAACAGTTTTGAGATATCAAAGGAAAGAGCTTTTGTGTTTCTGAAAAGCAACAAGTGTAGTGTTCCAAGTTTATCTGTGACTAAAATCCTTTCTGTGTGGAAGAAGTATGATAACAATAGTTGATTACTGGATAATTCTTTACTTTATCTTGATTAAAAAGTTTGTTAAGTGATTTTATTTCTTATCACCTTGTATGTGTATAGGCTAGTTGATGAGACTAGGCTAATATCTTGTGTGTTTTCTTTCTTTTTTAGCTGGTAGTGTTCCTATCATAAACTTGAAAGATGAATGGACTAATGAGCCGGTGTAATTGAGCAACTGAATGTAACTATATAGTGAACCAATATACATTTTGTGCGTAACATTCTTCTTCCCTTATCTTGCCTCTTTTATAAACATTTCATATTACTGTATACGACTACTTTTTTAACTATCGATTTTTAGCTTATCTAATCATCTGTAACCTATCTTGACTCAAAGAAAATTAATCATCTATATTTGGAAACTTTCCAAAATTCAATTCACCCCCTTCTTAAACTCAACCATTATATCTCAACACACCAGCTTCCTAGTGAAGATTTCAGCCAACACCCTTGCAGAGTAAGGATGCTAATGAAATGACCACACTTGGACAGAGAATCCACTACCAGTACAATGGCTTCATACCCTTTAGATTTACGAAGTCAAATTCTGAAATCCATGAATATTTCCTCCCATACATGTGCCGGGCTGTTCAAAGGCTGCAGCAGCCGTCCTAGGGCAGTAGCATGATATTTCTGATGTTGACAAACATCACACACCATTACAAAATGTTGAACATTCCTCTTCACTCCAAACCAAATCAAATTTGCAGCCAACCTTCTCTAAGTCCTGTAATAAACTGATTTACCTTGAGGGAAATCATGAAATTCCTTGAGAACCCAGGAAATACAAGCTGATGACAAAAACAACACTCACCACCCATCATAAAACAAGGTACCGTGCTTATACACAACCCAGATCTAGAGTTTTTATCTAGCTGCAGATCAGATATTATAGATAACAATTTCACATTCTTATGACCCTTCTTTTCAGACTTCCTACATGTCCTCCCAATGAGGTTGATGGATAAAGAGAATATAACTCGGCATCTCCATACATCCTAGACAAAGCATCTGCCCCTCAATCTTCTAAACCCATTTGTATTCAATGTCAAATTGGTATCCGAATAATCCAGCTGTCAATTCTATTCGACCATGGTAGTTAATTGTTGGAGAAGCTGTCTCAAACTCTTCTGATTAGTGCACACATTGAACCTTCTTCCTAACAGATAAAGGCACCAATGTTGAACAGCTAAAGCTACCACCATTAATTCTTTTTCATAAGCTGAGTAAGCCAAATTCTCTTCTCCTAAGGCCTTACAGAAATGGGCTATATCGGTCTTCCATTCAAAATTAGGATACTCCAATTCCTTGTCCATAAGCATAGATTTCAATGACAAATTCTTATTGAAAGTTCAGAAAGCATGCATAAAAGCTGAACTGAGTTATCGTAAGCCACTCAAATGCCTATTGAGCTTGAGAATTCCATTTGAAACCTTTTTCTTAGTCAACTCAGCAAGAGGTTATGCTTGCTTACCATAGTACAGATGAACTTTCTACAGTGTCCGGTGAGTCCAACGAAACCACGCACCCCTTTACATTCATGGGCTGAAGCCACCCCTCACATTCTTCACTTTGTTAGGATCCACAACCACCCCTTTGCTGGAAATAATACCCTCAACTTCCTTTTGTGCAAAATAACATTTCTTAAAATCAACAAGTTGATGCTAGCATGTTGTTTCCAACACTGCCCTTGCATGGAGCATGCCCAATTAGTGTTGTACACTGAGTATGTGATTAAAAAAACACAAAATTGTCATTCTCAACATCAGCCTAAATATCTCATCCATTAACATGTTTACAAAATGTCGCTTTATGGATATCACTCTTCCTAAGTCATACTTGCTGATATCCCGATTTAAGGTTCAATTTGGGGAAAAAAATGTCCCATGCAACTTATCAAGTAATTCTTCAATCACCTAAAATGGAAATTTATCGGAAATAGTCACTTGGTTCAAAGCTCAATAGTCAACACGCATTCCCAAGTATCATCCTTCCTTTTACTAGAAATTCAGGGTTGGAGAAACTCTAACTTAATCTAATTATTACAAATCATAGTTACTCCCTCACTTGCTTCTCAATCTCATTCTTATGGTGATACCGATAAGTCTAATATTCACTAGCCCCGAGCCATCTAATAGGTTGATTGCATGCTCCCTATTTCTCTTGGGTGGTGTAATAGCTAGAGTTCTTTGAACACGCTACTAAAACTTTCCAGCATCCCTTATAATCCACCCAAACCAAACCCAAAATTAAAAATAATAATAATAATAATAATAAAATAAAAAACTAAGTTAAACCCTAAACCAGTAGTTGTTGCAGTGGCGATCAGATGCTACCACCAAGAACCTATTCCTCTGCCGCATGCAACCTGTTTTGCCACTGCCTGCAACCTGTTCAGCTGCCACCTGTCCCCATTCTCCTAATGCACTCCCATAACCCCTACCTTGTTGTTTTTGCTTTTATTCTCGCCTCCTCTTTTTTTCCTTTTTCTTCATTTTTTCTATTTAACGTTTTTCACTGAAACTGAACCCCTAAATATCTATTTTCCACTGTCCAATGGAAACTCAGCAAGGCAGTTCAACTTGGTTGTGTTTTGCTTTTAAGTTATTATTTAAAATTTTATACTTTTTATTATTAATAATAAATGTGTGATTGTTTTCAATATTTTTGTATTGTAATTATATTTCTGCATTATATATATATATATATATATATATATATATATATAGTAATTTTTAGTTGTCCATAATGCTTCCGCCATATCCCGTTATAACTTTCAATATATTTCTGGAAAAGATTTTTGGGTTACTGATATTTTCCGTTGTCCGATATCAATAACACTGTTCTGAAGTGCTGCTAATCTGTCATCTATCTTCTTTGGCAGCATTATTTGCTTAGGTCACCTAGGAATCCAACAGGTCGGACCAATTGATAAAATCCACAAAAACAAACAGGAAAACAATGCAATAGTGACGGAGACATGACCATGAGTAAGGGCAAGGATCCCCTTGAAGAACCTATAACAAAGGCTAAAGCAAGGGAAACAAAGGAAACTTTTCAACAAGTGTTGTCAATATTATTTGAATACAAGCCCATATTTCAAGGTGAAAAGACCAAAATTATGAATTGCATCATGGCCCAAATGGAGGAAGACTAATGCATCACTTTATTTCAGTCTTTAAGTTTGTTTAAATAATGGTCTAATATTCTGACCAAATTATATTTTCGGTTAATCAATTAATGGGCTTTAGTTTGATTTTGTTTTAAATTATAATAAGGGCCGAATTTGAAACTTAGGCATCTAGAAGACCAAGAGGGTGCGATTGACTTTTGGTTGTCATAATTTCAGTTACAATCAGTCATTAAATAATTTTCAATTCCTAGGTTAATGAATCATTATTAGCATTTATTTGCCTCTATTAAGTAGTTTTCAATCCCTAGATTAATGGATCATTATTAGTGTTTATTTTTCTTTATTAAGTCTTTGTAACTCTGATGACAAAAACTTCTATATAAGCTGAACCATTTTTATCAAAAATACAAGTTGAGTTTTATTCAGAAATATTAGAGTTTAGCTCTTTTATCTTAGTGAGAGTGATTCTCCTTCTTGAGTAATTCAAGAACTCTTGGTTGAATCAAAGGACTTTCACATCCTTTGTGAGCGGCCTCTCTTGTGAAGAGTTATTCTTTCCTTCAGCTTTTCACATTCACCTCTTGTCCTTTCTTCACCAGAACTCAAAAATCTCAATTCTGTCCATATTTATTTTGTGGTCATAACTTTCGTTCCACTTGTTCAAATTGAGTGTTTTTTTAGCCTAAATTGAAATTCAGAACGAGAACTTTCATCTCGTTTTTTAATCACCTTAATCGAAGTTTTATAGCTTGAGATATCGAGTTTCAAAAATACTGCCCAATCCTGAAACTTTCACCACTTTCTAATCCAATCCACCTTCTCATGAATTTCCTAAATTTCCTTCAAGGTTCTAACCCTAAAGATCCTAAGTCAACCCTTGTACAAATGAGGTTCATATCAAATAGTTGGGACAGATTCATATTATTTTCAGGTAACAAAGAAAATAAAGAAGGAAATAACTACCACAGCCACATAGCTAAGCTCCTATAGAGAGAATAGCATCTGTCCATAACAGAAATTTAGGACCCCAAGGATGACCCTCTCTCTCGAATCATTCCTTTATATCCCCCACGCACATGTTCAGTCATTCTGTTTCATCATTTGCCACCACACCCATACCCTTCTCTCCTTTTTTGCTCTTCACAAACACTCTCCACACCTTGGGCCAAGCCCGCATTCCTATTTCTATCTGTTTAAATGAAGAAAAAACAATAAAAGGGGAAGAGAGGTGGTGGTGAGGGCATTGCAAATATCAATACTCTATGAACCAGAATTCACCCATGAAGACAATCAACCAAATTTACTCACCAATACACACATTGTATCATCTATCATTTCACCTTTGATTAGAGCCATAAAGTATCGTTATGTATAAATATAATTCCACATTATCAGTTGCAGTAGGTGGTATAAACTTCAATAACCCTTAACCTTAAACGGGCCAACAATTGGAATTAAAATATTAGTTGCATAAACATTGCAAACCGCATTATGGAAGCTGATACAAAACCCTTCATGAGTCTTCACCAAACAGCCTAAAATTTAGGGTGAATCACAAGCCTTAATGACCAAAAGAAGATTTTGATCATTAATGCCATTATTCTTCTAATAAAAGAGTTAAACTTCAGTATATGGTAAGAATGGAGTTGTGTTTCAGCATTGTCATTGAAGCACAGACCAGGGTCCACCGTTACATGAAAAATTAAATGTAACAATTGGGCTAGAAAAACAACTACTGAACCATTTAGTTGAGTATTGACTTTCACAAACCAACAAATAATATGATGTTAGCAGATGTAGATAAACTGAAATCCTGATAACTATTGAATCACAAAAGGAAAGAGAACCATTGCATATTTCAAAAACAGAAACATCTGTTAGGGATTAAATGTAACAATTGGGCTAGAAAAACAACTACTGAACCATTTAGTTGAGTATTGACTTTCACAAACCAACAAATAATATGACGTTAGAAGATGTTGATAAACTGAAATCCTGATAACTATTGAATCCAAACACAAAAGGAAAGAGAACCATTGCATATTTCAAAACAGAAACATCTGTTAGGGAAAAACTAGCTCAAACTGAAACGAATTCCGGATATCAATGCTAGAAATTAAGATAATCTATATATATAAATAAGATACCTTAGCTTCCTTAACAGTTAACTCTATATAAGGCAATATTTTAAAACATACATTTCTTAGTAAACCTAAACAAATGCATATGATAGTCAGTAAATGTAAATTCTAAACATCATATCACATATTTCTTTATGCAAACCTAGGGAAGACACTAAACAAAAAAGATAGTGCATTATAGCCTTCAATTCTTACAGATGTCAAATTCTCATATGGTCCAAGATCGTATGGATGTTTGTAGACACTCCCACCTTTATCTGCAAGCCATAAAGCTCTCACTCCTTCATGATACTGCTAACACAATTTCTTATTTCAGAAAGTTGATATCAATCTGGTCATATAAACTAACAGTTTTGAACTCAACTTCTAACAAGTATAACCTCTATTGTGGTCTTGTTATGTAGGACAAAATAGATATGCCACCCTAAAAGCACACATAATGCTATGGATAAGGGCACCAGCAACAGCCCAGAAACAACCTGCATAAACAAAGAAAAAAAAAATCATGAGAAAACAAATTGTTGAGTTTGCTTAAGCAAAATATGTAATCACTTTTAACAGAACTTACATATACAGTTCGGAAAGAGCTTCTTCCAATTTTTTCTTCATCCTGTATGCCATCATATGCTAGACTACCCACTAGTAAGACCTACATAGTTAAGCGATATAGAAAATGAAAAAAGGATTGTCAGCCCTTGCAGAACCATCAAATCTAGCACCCTGCTTTGACAAATACAGAACAAAAGAAAGGAAAAATTAAATAAATCAGGCTATAGATTTCATTCATGCAAATGTAATTTAGTACAAGTTTGGATTAGCTTATTTTTTTCGAGAAATACTTGCTTCTTTGGAAGTTTTTAAAGAGAGCTTCTGAAAAAGGAAAAATAAAGTGACTATTTCCAAACATGCACTACAGGGAAATAACAATTAAAACCAAATCATGAGGATAATGAAAAAGATTCAAACATACCAGGGAGTAGATGCAGCAAATTACAGCGTACAAGACAAAAATGAAGAAGACTTTATAATTTGCATGACCCACGCAGTTATTTATCCAAATGCAGTGATGATCCTTATAACCAAGTGACAACAGATTTGTCATTATCATGAAAATCCAAGATAAACATTGATTGATAATTTAGATCATGCATACCATTCGTAGAACACATCTTTTACAAACCCTGCAGTGATGTGCACGAGGAGGCTTATAGTGAGAACACTTTTGGCAATATCGCAAATCTCCACCCTGCTGACAGATCCAAAAACACATTACTGGAAAAGATAATTTTCATGATGCTCAAATATTGATATTCAACCAAACATTTATGGTACTCTTTCGCAGATCAGAAATACATCCTTTTAAACCAATGGATTAATTCAAACATGTTGTTAAATAAAAAAAACCATCTCATTATAGTATGATATGCAGCAATTTGAGCACACAAATTCACTTAAGAACCCAAGTTCAAGAACTCCACAAACTCCATACAGTTTATAAGTCCATTGATCATAAAGAAAGGAGACAGGACAATGACAACTCAACAAGGCTATGCAAAATAACAAACATTAACCCACATAAAAACCAGTGAAATTCTATAGCTACATCATAGTTGACAGAATAAAGGATACAACCAGTCTTGAATCAGCATACAAGGGAGCAAAACTATCAACTTCTTATGACTCCAGAAGATCTCTTTGCTAATTTCAGAAGTACAGAGAACGTGGGCATGAGAAAAGGGGCCATTAAGCATCATGCAAATTACAATGATTAGGGTATTAAACTGAGGTTGTGGTTGCATTGCAGCTGTTGTTTTCAGATTGATGTGGGTCAATTGTGACTGATGTGGTCACAACCTCATCCTAACGTGGTGTGGCTGCATAATGAGATGTGAGTGGACATTTTAAATCCTTGACTAGGATAATTGTATAGCAAAAATTCAACAACCCAGGAGATGATGGTCCCAAAAAACAAATAGAACCAAAATATTCAAACTGACATAATTATTAATACGTAAGTGAATGGCTAATGATTGAAATGAACAAAATAAGCTTCACAGACAAATGTGTAAACCAGCAAAGACGCTTCTTTTTCATCTCAGCCTCTCAAACTTTTGGCTTTAGCAACAAAGAGGGAAAAAAAAAATTGGTTCATATTAGCCAGTCCCATAAACTTACCTTCAAACCAGCAAATTTACCTGAGTTTATGACAAATTAGATTCGTTTCATCCAAATATATCAAACTAAAATTTTTGAGCTGAATCACACAATTCCCTATCTTAAAACATAAGTATGTAGACCTGTAAGTTCTAGGAGTTACCTCACGTTTGAATAATAAGAAGATGAGATGATATTAATACTAAAAGACAATATCATTCAAAGGAAGATAACCATATAAAATATAGTCTCCTTTAGAATGAGTAGGTTTTTATGTGTTATTCTTCCGAAGCAAGCATATTTTCAAATTATAATGCCAGTGTATATACAGTATTCAAGACAATGAACAAGCACCATAGCTTAACCATTTAACCTCTTGGAAATTAAATAAAAAAAGGGGAGGAAAAAACTTAGCCTGCAAAGCAATATACATACATACATACACACACACACACACACACACACATATATATATATATATATATCAGTTTGTAAGAAAAAGACTACAAAATTTAGTTGGTACCCATCCAACCATCTTGAAATCAATTTTGTTTCCATCTTAGTAGTCACAATTGATAAGGAATATCATTCACTCTAGACATCAAAACTATCGCAAGTGCAGTTATAAGATTTTTATACAGAAAAAAAAAACATTACTACAACGACACAAGACCAACCTTGCAATACAAACACAGCAATGAGAATGTTAAAGTTCACAAAAACTCTACTTTCAATCCATAACAACCAAAATCATAAACTCTCTAACTAAAAACAACAAGGTTTACCCCTAGGTCAGGTCGGCTACAAGAATCACACGACACTATTCGACTTAGTTAAATACCAAACATTCAGCAATGTTATTCATCATGGGTTTCCTATTGATCACTTTTCCTAGTGTCGTTGGTTGCCTCTCTCTCCCCCTCTTCTAAGATGACTACAAACCATACCCTCTACAATTTTTCACATGTTCCACCGGGGATCTTCTATGTACCTGTTCAAACTCTCCTACTAAAAACAAAGGTCCAAATACCCTAGTCTTGTAATAACATGACCAAACACAAACACTTCTAAAGCAATCGCTATGCTTCAAAACGAAAGCAGCAAAATGCCACTCCTTTCGCAACCCCCAGATCATGAAAATCGACACGAAAAATAAACCCTTACGTAATCGAACTAAGTTTCAACCGCAACAGCATCCATTCAATTCAAGCTCTTAACAATGCAGCATAAAAAACAAGCACGCGGAACAAAAAAAAAAAAGCAAGCAACAACGGAAGACAAACGAAACCCCCCAAACGCAAAACCCATTTCCAGTTTTTTTTTTTTTTAATTAAACGACAGAGAAGCGAAGAAGACCTTGCGTTTGATCTCGTGGATGGGACTCTCGGCGTCTTCGACGTCGGGCATGTAGGTGGCGGGAACGCGACCCGGATCCGTGGAGATGGCGGCGCGGTAGGTGATGCCGCAGACGAAGGCGAGCGCGGTGAAGACGGCGGCGTTCATGATGCCCGGGGAGGAGAAGAGGCCGAGCCAGCGGTCGATGAAGACGAACACAGTGGAGACGTAAATGTACCCGATGGCCAAAACGACGACGCTGACGGGGAGCGAGAACGCGAAGGACTTCTCCTTGTCGGTGGCCATCGTGGGGAGAGGCGGAGGCGCCGCCGGCAGGGCCAACACGACGGCGTCTCCGGGAACGCGCGAGAGAGCGCTTTGAATTAGGAGGTTGGTTTGTTGGTTTGGTTGTAGGAGAAATCCAGACGCTGCCTTTTCCTTTAATTTCACTCTCTCTCTCAACCATCGCCAAACAACGCCTATTTATACTTTCAAACATAATTTTAACCAAACATAATCACTTTTCTCTCTCTGTCTAATTCCTGGTTTTCATTGCAATTCGATTGGAGTATGGTTCTTAACTGTTTCTAATTAAAATTTATGTGGATGCTTTCTCTTTCCAATTATGTGGTTTAAGGTCTTTTTTTTCATAAATAAAAAAATTAATGTAAATAAAATCTAACCATTTTGGATAATAATTTTTAACCATTTTTACTTCATTCTACAATAATTTTTCAAAACAATTTCAACTTTAATTCATATTTCTTAGACTTGGATACAACGGTATCATTATATTCTATTCCTTACCTCAAATAGATGAATATATAAAATTAATGTTAGCTTAAATATAATTTGATATTAAATGAAGGTATTGAAATAAAAAATTTCAAAAGGTTAATAATTTAAAAAAAGCCAAAATAAATAACGGTTAAATATTATATTTGTAGTTAAAGATGGGTTAGTTTATTGTATGTTTTGAAACTTTAACATGTAATAGTTTTGTTTGTAAAATATGCAATAGTGATTTGAGAGGATTAATTTTTATGTTAAGGTATTATTTATTTAAAGTTTTTAGTTTGTCAAATTTTATCTTTAAAAGACATTTTAATGGATTAAGAGAAAATTATCTATATAACTATTATTAGTCACTACTTATAAGTGATATGAGACTGAGCATACCAAACATAAACTCTCCAGTTGGGGACTAAGGGATATGAGTGAAGTGAGATTCTACTCTTAATCCTACGGTGGACGTCAAATGTATTATCCAGGAACGAGAGTGTTTCAGTCTCATGTCCGTTACGATAGTATATTAGTATCATTATTATCTATTTTGAAACTTTACTTCATCACGATTTTGTCCTTAAAAAACGTCTCGATAGATTAAGAGAAGAAAAAATATATAAACTACTCTTATCCTTAATTTCTAAGTGATATAGGTTTTATAAACATATCAAAATACTAGGTATAAACATCTCGTATTAAAATAGTAAACAAGAGAGATGATATTCTTTTATTCATTATATATAATATATGTACACGTGGATGAAATTTTCCTATGATATATTTTCAAATTTATGCATTAATATATTATTTAATTATTAAAAAATATTATGTCTTTTCATTGATATATTTGCTAAAGCTTATTATTAAATTTTTTTTCATTAATAATGTATGTAAATAACTAATTAATATTATATTTTTATCAAATGTTTCAATATTTTCTATTAGTAATTGAATGTGATAGTTTAAAAAATAAATTGGAGATTTAGTTAAACTTTTATAAAGTTCAAAATTAAATATTCATAAAATCTATAAAACTACGGTGGATTCTACCATGAAAGAACTTCGAAGTGATCCATTGATAATTCATTTATTATTTAAAGGGTGAGTGGTAAGATGATATAAAGTTAATATGAAATCATTATAGTTATAAATTGTATTCTAAAATAAATTGTCATTTTTCGTTATATATATATATATATATATATATATATATATATATATATATATATATATATTTTTTAATATTATGCTTTATTAGAAATATTTTGTAACGTTAATATTTGGTGTTAAAGTTTCCTTGTGAGGTTTATTAGAAGCAATAGTCTTCTAAAAAAATATTGATCAAAGCACCTTAAGTGAAATTTTTTTTTCTCAATCAACAATACTGAAATTTGATAGTCATTATTGTAACATCCTAATTCTCAGCACTCTAGTTTGTTAAATTTTGACAATTTTTTTTTGTTAAAATTTTAATAATTAAATTATTAGGAATTGGGGAAAGTGATTATAGAGTTTTATGTTTATTTGATTATTTGTGATTTTCTGGAAATTTTCTGGAAAAAAATAATAATATATCTTAAAAAAAATTTGATTTTGACTTTTTAAAAAAACATATTTCTCTCTGTCTTCCGTAAGTTCTTCCCTTCTCTCATTTTTCTCACTTTCTCTCAAACCCTCCTCACTTTGAAGTTTGATTTTGAGGGGAAATATTGATTTTCTTGAGAAACTCCAAGAGGTAAGTTTGTTTCTCTCAATCTTTTCTACATTTCTACGGTTTTATTTTTCAAAACGGTGCATTTTCAAATTTTTTCCTCACTTGGTTAAGCTTGAATGGGAGTAGAAATAGTGTTATTGTAGGTTTTACACCTAGGACACTAGAATAATACTTAAAATTGAGGATGAGAAGTGATTAAGCTAAAAACCTTAAGCACCCTAATTCGTAAGTCACTGTTCATTGAATTTTGGGACGTTTGTGAACAGAATTAGGAATTGGTATCTTCATAAAAGTTGTAGCACTTTAAGTTATAGAAATTTAGAAACTTGTTTCACATCAAACGAATATTTGTAGCTCAAGTTATGTTCATTTTACTGTCAAGTGTTATAGCTGTGAAGTTAAGAGGTTGCTCTGTTTCAACAGCCTCGGTTTTTGAATTACTGGGATTGATATGTGTGAAATTAGGACTTAATTCCTTAATAAATGTTGTAGGAAATTATATTTCCGAAATTTAGAAATTTGTTTCATGTCAATAGCTTATGTGTAGCATGAGTTATAGTCAAATTACCAAGGCATGTTCAGAGTGTTATTGTAGTTGAGCCATGTTGGAAACAACCACTGTAAACTGAAAAACTGCATTTATTCTACAAGGCATTTGAATTTATTTCCTTCATCAATATTGTAGGTAATTAAGTTATTGAAATTTTGGCTCTTACCTCATGCCAAAACAGCTTATATAACTCTAGAAAATTCTTAAATACTGAACCTTGTCCATATTTGTTATTAGGATTCTTCCTACTCTAAGTGTATTACTTTCATTACTATCTTCTACTTGTATTAATTTCATTAGCATCAATTTAGGCCCTAGAAATGATTTTATAACTCAAAGAACCATAGTCTTGAATTTTAGAATTTTAGGCTATGAAGGAGGTGAGATTTTAGAGGTCTAATATGGTTGGAATTAATGATTTAATTGGGGTATTTAATTGGCATGTAAGAGGCTACTTAGAGGTGCAAAGAGGAGAACCAAAGACTTGATAGATTATTTGATCAAGAGTTACTCTTCACCAAGTTACAACATAAGGTAAGGGGTAGTATAATTTTTATAATTCACTTTTGCTTGAAATAACATTGAGAAGAAGTCCCTTTACTTCTAAGTTAATTAGAAATTTATTTGGAATTATTTGAATGTTATTTCTATTTTTGATAAATTTTTAAAGTTTTAAGATTATGTGAATTTTATGGGTTCTAAATGGAGCAACTTGAGTGTGTGGAACCTTGTATGATTATAAGACATCCATGAATATTGTTTGAATCGATTGCTTAATCATTAGTAATTTTATATGATTTATTGATGAATTTAGTTTGAGAATTATCATATCTCTATGTTTAGTATTATGATAATTGTTTTAAATTGATTATTGAGATATATTGTATGTATGTTATGAATCATGATAAGTAGAAAATTATTGTGGACTGTTTTTGTTAAGATGGATTAGCATGTAGAATTGCATTGTATAATTTGGTGGAATGGAGGAAAGGTGTGAGAAATGAACTATGTGAGAAAGAAAACTATTTTTTTAGATATATTAAATTGAATTTACAATTTAATTATGAAGTGAATTTTATATTTTTATATTATTAATAAATATTTTTCAAAAGTATTGGAATAATTTTGATTTAGAAAAAAAAAACAATTAATTGTAAGTGAAAATGAATTTTTAATAATTTTGAGGAAATTATTTGCAATTATTATTATTATTATTTAAGAAAAATAAATTAAAATTGAGAAAATTATGATTTTGGGTGATGATGAATATGATGAGGTGGAAGGATGGTTTGGTGAAAAGTAGAAGTGTTCTGGGCTGTTTTTGATTATTTTGCAGGTGTTAAAATTTTTTGGGAATGTCTGATTTATAGAGGAAACTCTGTCAGATTTTTTTAAGAAATAGCCTAGTATTATTTTGAAGAAGTTAAGATGTGATTTAAGTATAATGAGGTGAAATAAAGTTGAAAGAGTGTGAAGAAGTTATGATAAGTCATGCATCATGTTCATGAGTCAGAGATTGAGTGTATGAGGAGGATATGGAAAATCAGGGTCGGTTTCATGCTAACCTCGAGGATGATTGAGTGTGATCGAGCTCATATGTGGCTCAGGCTCGCTACCTAAGTTGTGAGACTCTCACTACCAAGCTTGATTATCCTGACTAAAGCCCCAGGGTTTCTCATGATTAGTTGAGCTGGACAAGTAATTATGAGTATACTACCGCGAGGCGGTGAGATGTTCCAGTGAAACTCTTGATCCTTCTCGAAAAGAAAAAAAAAACAAAAAGAGAAAAAAGAAAGTGGTTTTGGGATCCCCATGGTCTTGCATACTAGGATGTGTCCTAGAAAAGATTAGTGCATACATTGCATTCATAATATCATATCATTTGTGTGTTGATTACTAGTATGTTTGTATGTGTAATTTCTAATTAACTCAATGTTATTTGCATGCTCTAAGTGAATATAAAGTTGTCTTACCTTTTCTGTGCATGTATTGTTATTATGAAATGTTTGCATTGGTGACGTTGAACACAACTCATCCCCGGTATCATCTCCAAGTAAAGTTTAAATACGATCACTGCAAGTACTAAGTAGAGGACTTGATCGGACACCACTACAGTGCTACAAGAGATACTTCATTTTAGTGGACGTACGAAATATATCTCCTTTTTAGTTAGGTTGTATAGTTAGTTTGTCTAGTTTGTTTGTTTGCTCTAGTCTTGTGAACCCTTGTTAGGTATATTTTGGGATGACTTTGTGTATATTTACTATCTAGTTATACTTGATACTTATGAATGATATGTATATTAATCACTAAGTGTATGTTCTAATTATTGTGTACCTTACTTCTACAAGAGTGTATTAGTAATCAAATACTAAGAGGAACCAATAATAATTAATAAATCATAATAAAGTGAATGTTGATATTAAAGGTGTCACAATTATGATTATTAGATAATATGGATGGAGAATTTTCTTTGCTCAAAGGAATATTGGGGTATGATAGAAATTGGAATTTCTACAATAGTATTGGGTGTAACACTTACTTATATGTAAAGGAAAACTCATGAAGATAAAAAATTGAAAGATTTGAAAACCAAAACTATATATTTGAAGCCTTAGATTGTTCAATTCTAGCGACAATAATCAACAAAGACACATTAAAAAATATTTAGGAATCCTTGAAACAAAAATATCAAGGCACAACAAGTGTCAAATGAGCTTATTTGCAAACTTTACGAAATGAGATTGAAGTTCTCCACGTGAAGGAAGGAGAATATGTTGTTAATGACATATGTTGAAGAAAAGGAGATTCATAAATCAGATAAGTGGTTTCTTGACTCGGGATGAAACAATTATACATGTGAAAGAAAAAGGAGTATTTCTCATACTTTGATGACAAGTTCAAAGAACTTTAATATGACTAGGAAAAGAATATTAGACTAGAGATAGATAAATTTATCAACATCATTACATGAGTGTTTTATGTGACAAAATTAAAGAACAATATGGACAATTGTAAGAGAAAGAGTTGAATTTTATATTGTAGCACAAACAATGTAAAGTATATCATCCTAAGAAAGACTTGATTATGAAAGCAAACATGTCTATCAATCACATTTTATTTTACATGTTATATCCCTTCCCATAACACCCACTTGTTTCAATTTAGTTACTGAAGATATACCGCAACTTTGGCATTGTTGGTTTAAGCTTTAAAGGCTTGCAAACATTATAATTGAAACAAATGATGGATGACTTACCATTTTTGAAGTCTCCCTTAGAACTATGTCACAATTATCTTATGTTGAGGGGGTCATGCCCCCCTCCAAAGTTGTAAAATTTACATATACATTTATAAGTTTGGTCCCTCAAACTTAATTATCATTAAATGTACCTATTTGCATATTTACATATTTGACCTCCTACCTTTTCATATTCTTTTATCTTCTCATATTATTTTTTAATAATATATTATTTTACTCAAAAAAATCAATGATCAAGATTTGTCACTTAAAGATGCATAAAAAATTCAAGATGCATGTCGAGAAAGCATCGAATTTGTCACTTAAAGGCCCACCTACAAATTGTGGGGGAGAGTTTATATATCAATAATTCAATAGTTTTTATGATAAACATGGAATAAATAAACAATTGACAGTTGCATATTTGCCTCAACACAACAGAATAACTAAATAAAAGAACTGAATCATAATGTATTTGGTCCGTAATATGCTATTTGAAAAGAATGTGCCCAAAACTTTTGGGAAAAAGCAATGAATTGGGCAATCCATATTTTGAATCATAGCCCAACATTAGTGGTGAAAAATAAGACACCTGAAAAAGTCTGAAGTGGAATCAAGCCTTCATTTCTTTACTTCAAAATTTTTGGCTGCATCTCTTTTGTTCATGTGCTTGGCAATACAAGAACTAGCTTGATGGGAAGAGTTTAAGATGTGTTTTACATGGAGCAATGAGGAGTCAAAGGCTTGCAAGCTATATCATTCAATTTCACAAATGATTATAATTAGTAGGGATGAAAAATTTGAAGAGAATGAAGATTGGGAGTGGTATAATTATGATGCATAGATTTGTGTGAGTTGGAATGGGAAGAAAATGAAAAGGAACCAATTGAAGCACCTTTTGGAGAAGAAGTTATTGCTTATAGAGAATTTAAAGAGATCTCCATTACAAATGAATAAACTCCATGTTCGAATGAAAGGAGTAATAGGAGGGTCCCTCCAAGATTATGTGATAGAAAAATTTATCTGATAATGCTTATTTGGTTATGTATGCAATAATTATTGACCATATTCATTATGAAGAATGTGTGAAGAGTGAAAAATGGAGGAAGGCCAGGCCATGGATGCAGAGATAGAAGCAGTTGAAAAAACCGGCACATGGGAGTTAGTTAATTTACCCAAAGGAGGAAAAATAAATGAAGTAAAATGGATATACAAAATCAAACTTAATAAAAATGGAGAGGTATATAAATTTAAGGCAAGACTTGTAGTAAAAGGGTAATGCTCAACAATGCAGGATAAAAAATATATAAGTGTTTGCTCTTGTGGTTCAAATGGAGACTACTTGTTTGGTGATTCATTTACAGCTTAAAAAGGGTGGTTCATCCATCAACTAGATGTAAAGTCAATATTTCTACTCGAAGAACTAATTAAAGATATTTTTGTAGAACAACCTTGTGGTAATATTCAAAAGGGGAAGAAGCATAACGCCTACAATTTAAATATAGAAACCTATTTTATAAAGGATGAATTTAAAAAATGTGATTATGAGCATACTCTTTTTATCAAATCAAACAAAGAAAACCACATTACAATTGTAAGTTTATATGTTAATAATCTTCTGTTTACTGAAAATGATGAATTGATATTTGCAAAATTTAAAAACTCAATGAAACACGAGTTTGATATGACAAATCTTGGAAAGATGAAGTTTTTCTTTGGCATTGAAGTTATGTAGAAACCTGGTGGGATTTTTATTAGTCAAAAGAAATATGCCTAAGAAGTGTTGCTATGATTTAGAATGGATCAAAGTAATTTTGTCCAAACTCCAATTGTTCTTGGGTTCAATATTTTGAAGGATGGAGGAACCAATGTTGATAACATTATTTGAAAAAAGTGTGGGATGTCTGATTTATCTCACTATCACTTGCGCAAACACATGGTATTTGTAGAAGGTTTATTAAGTATGTGTGAATCTCATTGAGCTTCGTTTGCCGCTAGCAAAAAGAGTGTTCAAGTATTTGAAAGAAATATTGTAGTATAAAATTTACTATAAAAAAAGGTGGAAGTGATATGTTATTACCTACATAGACAGTGATTATATTGATGATTTGGATGTTAGAAAAAATACACTAGAATATGTTTTTCTTCTAAGTCTAAGAGTTGTGTCATGGTCATCTAAAAAGCAACTTGTAGTAAGTTTGTATATTGTTGAGACAAAATTTATTGTTGCAACATCATGTGAATGTTGTAAATGTTATATCATACTCAAAATGATATAATTATCATCCAATGTAATAATAGTTTTACAATTCTCAGAAAAGCTAATAATGCATTGTTGCAATAAATATATAAATATTCGTTTTTACTTTATGAATGCATAAGTGAAAAAAAAAGTTTTAGAGGACAAATTAAAATAAATAACTTTTTAAATAAATCATATTATATTTTTTAAATAAAATCTTAAAGATTTTTTTAGGATCATGGTCTTACCAATCCACTCCCTTGCTTACATACGACACAATAATATAATAAAATTAATTTATTTTACCAATTTTAAACAATTAATTTGATGTGAAAACTCTTTACAAATTTTAAACAATTAATTTGATGTGAAAACTCTTTAAAATTAAATAACTTGTAATAAGATTGAAATAAAGTGATATTTTTAACATTCAATTTAAGAGAAAATTTATTAAAATTAATTTAAATTCATTTTTTAAGTTTATTAAATAAATTTCTACTTTTATGAAATTCTTATCCTTTATTTTATAGTGTTAATAATAAACAACTTATTTTTTCGGGTTTAATTTTTGTCTTTAATAAGATTATATAGTCAAGTCGTTTCCAATTTAATAATACATAGTTTATAACTAACACAACGATAATTTATAATATTCATAATAAACATTTCAAAATGATCGTATTTTTACATCTTGAAAGATTGAAGAACATAATTTAATTTTAAAAGAGTTATACATTGTTATCTTTTTAAAATTGAAGAAGTTGATTGGTCTTTTATAAATATGAGAATTAAATTAAACAAAATGAATAAATAATAGATAAAATATAATTTAACTTTCATAGTGTAATTTTGTTTAAGTCTCAATAAATATGTTAATTTTAAAGAAAATAAAAAAAGAGTTTTATTGATTTTTCATTTGAATATTAATATTGTATCGATATTGAGAATTAAATGTCGTATTCCTACACGACTCTTGCATCTAACGAAAAGACTTGAAAAAATAATTATGTAAAAGTGAAGGCAGGAAACAGACAGGAGGAACTTTAAAGGGAAGTATGGAAGTCTGTGATTGCAATGAAACAGTTGGGACCATGCTTTCTGTTCTGTCCCAACTCTTTGTTATGAGACCATCATTTTGAAATGTTTATTATGAATATTATAAATTATCGCTGTGTTAGTTATAAATTATATTATGTAAATAAAAAATTGTTAATATTTATTTGCTCCTGATTTTACTACTAAAGAGATAAAAAATAGTTATATAGTTACATTTTACTACTAATGAAAAGATGAATATATTTAAAAATAGAAAGAAAATAAAATAAAATTTTAAAAATATTTTAAAAATAATATTAAATGATATTATTATTGTGTTAAATGATGTTTTATTTTTTTTAAATTATTCTTTAATCTACAAGATTTTACATATTTATATTGATACTCTAAGTATTTTATATTATATTTCACGTCGAATAATGGATAAGGAAAGGACAAATGTTAAGAAATAAGGTGGATTTTATATTCTCGGAGATCTTCGACGTGAGCATGGCTTGTCTCTTACTCTCTTTCTGAGCTGTGAAGGCCCTTTTTCAAGTTCTAGATCAAGATGGAGGCAGATATTCAAAACCCAGCTCAAGGTTACAGGTTTGGCAATCTGGGTTTTCCCAATTTTTCTTCTTGTTCTCTTTTGCTACCCTTTTTTATCTCTGAATTGTTAAAACCCTTTTCTGCTTTTCATGTCATGGATTTGATGTTACTGTTCCTGTGATCACCTATATTCATACTATTGTCTTTTGTCTAAGAATTTCTCTTCAGAAAGCGAAAGATACAAAGTAGCAAAATTGAAATTGATTTTTCGTAAATCAACACAAACTAATTTATAAAAGCTCTACCATATAACTTCTTCAAATTTTCATTTTTAAGGATAATGTTAGTTTATCAGAGAAGTTCGTTTCATTATTTTTCTTCTTCATTTTCTAGAAGTTTGAAATTCTGTTATCTGTGTGTTTGAAGAGTGACTTAGATGATTATATGTTGAAGTGTTTGGATTTGGTTTCACACTATATGGGGTTTATGGCTTTTGAATCAAGTGGTTCTAAGTTGGTATTCTATGTTTCTGTTCTGTGAAGCCTTTAGCTAAGTAACTGGTACAAATGATCAAGATATGGGAAGCAAAACACTTTAATCAGTGAGATTGTTGAAGTCGAGAGTGTTTTGCAAATTGGAACTGAGCTTACTGGGAACTTCTAAACCAGTGATCTTTATTTATTTATTATATTTATTATGGAAACACATGAAATTGGATGCACAAATGGCTTCCTCCACGCCCAATTGTGTGTGTGTGTGTGTGTGTGTTTTTTTTTTGCATTTTTTTATGGACATAAATACAAAATATTTCTATATTTTAGTTCAAGATTTGCTCAATTTTTAGGGTTGGAACCATGTAAAAAGCTGTTACACGCAGAATTTGACTTAGACTATTCTACACTACATAGACAAATTGAGTGTGATATATATAATGGTATATATGAATATTATCTGACTTATAATTAGAACATAAGATATCACTGCAAGAACTTTGTTGAATCTCCATGCCAGGGATCATTATGGTACACATGACATTCCTTTTCAAATCTGTTGAGAATTGTAATTACAACATTCCTTATCAAATCACTATGCTTCACAAAACCAATATACTTTTGAACCTAATGCGTCACTGCGCACTCTTGACATTGACTTTAACAAGAGAAATACTGTACATGAGGAAATTTTCCTGCAGGGAACAAACCATGATGGAATAGTCATGGTTTATTATGTCTAGGATCTAACTATGCCTTTTGTTTTGACTAATTCTGAATGCTTCAAACTTCACCCTCTCTTTGTTCTTTCCAGATTCTGTGTTGATGGAGTGCACGAGGCCAACATTATTGAATGGAACAAGAAAAGAAAATTACAAAGTAATCAATTGGATTTGCTTAGACCAAAGCATAAGTGCTGGGTTGGGAATTCCTCTTCTGAACATGCTTTAACGTTTGATGAAAATCAAGCATTAGAGCACATGCAGGTTTATGCACTAAAGGATAGAACAAATGCAGAAAACTCAGAATCTGACTCTGTCAAGGACAGCAACTTTTTCTCCGAAGATTCCATTACTTCCATGTCTGTAAATGAAGGTAAACTTGTCACTGATTCTGGTATGACATGCCAACATGATAGGCCTTCCACTTCGGTTGGTTGGAATGGCTATAATGCCAAGGATAATCACCACACTATAGATGAATCTGCAGTTGATAAGGAATGCACAGGTGAAGCAGACACATTTGATGACAAAGAATGTAATCCATCAGATCATTATGCTGATTTAGAGCCTCTGAAGAGTCTTGAGGAGAAGATTTTAGAAATAGAAAGCTGCAGAGTTAACGTGCTCCAAGAATATGCCAAAGACAGTACGGATGAGTCCACAGATATGGAATTTGAAGATCTTTTTTCTACAGGGGAAACACGTCACAAGTATGTCCTTTCATCTGGAAGATGGAATGTAAACCAAGGTATACTTCATCTGCATTCTTTACAGTGAATGGTTGTGGGGATAGGATCATTTTATGTTCATTGAAATTAGTTGCTAGAATATGTGTCTTGGACATGAAATTTTCAGTTCATAATTCCTAGGTTGATATGTTATTTTTGGTTGCAGAGGCTCAATCAGGCACAAGGGCACCAACAATTGATCAAGAATTTGAGCAGTACTTTTCCATGCTTATGCTTTAGCAGAGATATAACTTACAATGGAGATAGGTGTAAATATGTTTTTTAAATGGCTATCTATGTAATGCATTTATGAAGATTTACTGAACTTGTTATTCTAATGCATGTATGTAAAAGGAGCTTATTTTGTTTACTAGTTTGGGTTTATTTTAGGCTTAATTGGTTTTTCACAGTGATACTTTTTGGTTCTTCAGATCTTCTTTTGGTGTAAATAAATTCCTTTAATTTAGAGGATAAGTGAAGAGAGCAATGTGGGATACATAATAATATCATAGAAAGCGTTTTACTAAATTTGAGTATGATAATTAATTTCATTTTCTTAAAATCACAAAATTTATTTATTTATTTATTAAAAGTATTTTTTACAACTTGAGTCAAATAAATTGTCTTTTTGTTTATGATTGAAATATCAAATTTTAATTCAAAATAACAAAAACTTAATTATAACTTAATAATAAATTATTGATAAAACATAAAAAAAATGTAATCTTTTTTATGCAACTCATTTAAGAACTTAAAAATAGATACTGGATTGGAGAGAAGAGTATTTATAAAAATGCTTAATTTAAATAAAAAGAATAAAAATGAGTAATTTATATAAAATGGGGAAACCTAAGCTCCTAAAAGAAAGTTATACACTCGAGATGGATATATTTTATAATTTAATTCATAAATTGATTTTATATAATTTATATACTTTGAACAAAAAATCAAATATTTATAGTATTTTGATTGATAAATTATGTAAATTTCTTTTTAGAGTGCTAATACACATATACTTATTGAAAAACACATAAATCACATTTAATTATATGATTTATAACTATATTGTTTTATTATTTTATATTTTATAGAAAAAAAATTAGCGAAGGAAAATATTTTTAAGTGTATGTGTAACTTTTTTCTTTTTATGTTTTGGGCGGATAATGTGGACTTAAATTAGGGTCATTTCATAATTGTTGAAAGTCTCACATCGCCTATCTCATATCATTTGGTATGGTTTAAATACATGTTAGGCTACTCCGCATATTGTCAATTGATTTTATGTTGGAACCTTAACATAGTATTAGAGCTTAAGGTTATTTTGAATTTTTTTTTTTCGCCTTTGATCACTATTGAAGCCGCCACCACCGCCGCTATCGCTGTCGGTTATTTGGTAGTGTGAAAGTGCATGTCTAGGAATGTTCTGACAAGGAAAGACTTGGTATTTAAGCGTGTCCATTAGTGACCCACCTCTCTTTCCTGGGAACTTACCTGGTGTACTGGTTCATGCCGCTGTCACTATCGCCTCCGCCCTTTATGAGTTCTTCAGCTCCTTTTAGTACTTCCAATTACAGTCGATCTTGCGTCGATCCTTCCATCTACACTAACTATGTTAATGTGCACTTATCCATTGACAAGTTAACCGGCCCTAATTATGCCACATGGTCATCGGACGTCAGATTATGGCCTAAGAGTCGAAGTATCTTGATCATCTTGCCCGAAAGCACCTACTCTCACTCCTGGTGAGGAAGACCGTTGGGACACCATTGATGCTCAATTATGCGTGGTTCTCGAGGTACTCTTGATCCTTCGTTAAAACAAATTTTTCGTTCCTACGAAACATGTGTCAAAATCCGGGAACATGCCAAGTTATTATACACCAATGATACTCAACGTCTCTATAATGTCCGTTCTAAATTTGTAGATGTTATTGCCTCTAAACATCAAGATTCTATGACTGATTATATGGGCAAAATTCATGCTCTTTTTCATGAGTTCAATGAGTTATTGCCTCCTTCCCCCGACCCTGCCACCGAGATAGGACAACGATCAAAGTTCTTCATGCTAGGGGTATTACACGAACTTGCTGATCAATATTCACATATTCGTGATCAGATTTTGGGTTCTCCGGTTGTCCCCACTCTTTTGCGTATACCAGCAAAACCCAACCCTGACACACCTGCTTCTGTTAATGATTCCTCATCATTTTTAGGGTGATGCTCTTCTTACTGCATGTTATCTTGTTAATCACATGCCATCTTCGGTTCTAGATAATAAAATACCTCATTCCATTTTATTCCCTCATGAACCACTTCATCTCTTATCTCTAAAAGTTTTCGTGTTTACATGGTTTGTTCATAATTTTAGTTCTAGTCTTGACAAGCTTTCTCCTAGATCACATAAATGTGTTTTCTTAGGGTTTACAAGATCACAAAAAGGATACAAATGTTTTTCTCCTTCTCTTAACCGTTATTTTGTGTCTGCAAATGTTACATTTGATGAGTTCTCTTTTTATTTTAAAAGTCAATCTTCACCTCTGTCTCCATCCAATCTTGTCAACACTCCTAGTACATTTAATGTTCCTATTGTTTGTGACCCTCTAACTGTGTCTTCTTCACCATTAGATTCTACTCCGCAGTCAGCTTCTTCTTCACTGCCTCTTCAGGTTTATAGTTGCCGAAATCAATCACAACCACCACCATGTGACTCTACTCAAGTGCCAACTACTCTATCTCCTCCGGATGTGACACCTGAGTCTGACCTTCCCATTGCCCTCCAAAAAGGTATTCGTTCTACACGTAATCTCTCTCCTCATTATATTGGTTTGAGTTATCATCGACTGACATTATCTTTTTATACATGTCTTTCCTCTCTTTCTTCTGTGACCATTCCAAAAACTGTTCGTGAAGCTTTAGCCATCCTGGTTGGCGTCAGACCATGTTAGATGAACTAAGTGCTCTTCATAATAGTGGAACTTGGGAATTGGTCTTGTTACTGTCTGGGAAATCTGTTGTTGGTTGCAGGTGGGTGTTTTCTATCAAAGTTGGACCTGATGGTACGTACTATTGATCGCCTCAAAGCTCGTCTTATGGCCAAAGGTTATACTCAAATTTTTAGGTTGGATTATGGAGATACCTTTTCCCCTGTGGCAAAGATGACTTCTGTTCGTTTATTTATCGCCATGGCCGCTCTTCAACAAGGACCTCTTTATCAACTAGATGTTAAAAATGCTTTCCTCAATGGTGATTTGCAAGAAGAAATCTATATGGAGCAACCTCCTGGATTTGTTGCTCAGGGGGAGTCTTCTGGGATGGTATGTCATCTTCATAAATCCCTATATGACCTAAAACAATCTCCTAGGGCCTGGTTTGGAAAGTTTAGCAATGTTGTTCAACAATTTGGTATGACTCGGTGTGAAGCAGATCACTCTGTCTTTTATCGACACTCAAGTGCTGGATGTGTTTACTTAATAGTATATGTTGATGACATCATTCTTACAGGTAGTGACAACCATGACATCTCTCAGTTGAAACAACATCTCTGTCACCATTTTCAGACCAAAGATCTTGGCAAACTTAGATATTTCTTGGGTATTGAGGTGACACAGTCCAATGATGGTATTGTTATATCTCAGAGGAAGTAGGCCATGAATATTTTAGAGGAAACTGGGTTGATGAATTCAAAGTCTGTTGATACGCCCATGGATCCCAATACTAAACTTTTACTAAATCAGGGGGAGCTTATACCTAATCCTGAGCAGTATAGAAGATTGGTTGAAAAATTGAATTATCTTACAGTTACTCGTCCTGACATTTCCTTTGCAGTCAGTGTGGTAAGCTAATTTCTTAATTCCCCATGTGAAGATCATTGGAATGCAGTCATTCGTATCTTAAAGTATATTAAAGGATCTCTTGGAAAAAGATTGTTATATGATTCTAATAACGATGCAAGAGTTGTTTGCTACTCAGATGCTGATTGGGCAGGATCTCCTTCGGATAGAAGATCTACATCTGGATATTGTGTCTCCATTGATGGTAACTTGGTCTTATGGAAAAGTAAGAAACAAAGTGTTGTGGCAAAATCTAGTACAGAAGCAGAATATAGAGCTATGACCTCAACTGCTTGTGAATTTTTTTGGCTCAAGCAATTGCTTAGAGAGTTACAATTTGGAGATGTCACTCAAATGTCACTTGTGTGTGACAATCAGGCTGCTCTTCATATTAGTTCTGTTAAGATTCCAACATAAAACAAATTGGCAATATGCGGAGTAGCCTAACATGTATTTAAACCATACCAAATGACATGAGGTAGGCGATGTGGGACTTTCAACACACCCCCTCTAACGAAGTTTGCCGGACCAGGCAAAGGGTACTTTTGACCCAACGAAAGGACAACTTTTGGCCCAAGACAATAACCGGAAAGATGTTAGACTTTGACTCTAATACCATGTTGAATATAGAAGAAATAGAGTTTGGGATTAATCTCCCTTGTGTATAAATCACACATAGGGTAGTCTATTTATAGTAGAGAGATACAATCTGAAAGAGTAGCTGAAAGTAACATAATAAACAAAAAATATTGTTTGATATTATGGTTAATATCTAACAATATCTTAATAATATTAAATAATATCTAAATAATATCTAACAATAATAAAGGAAAAAAAGATGCCGAGAAAACAAAAAGTAATGAAAAAAAAATTGAAAGGAGATGAAATAAAATTTAAGAGTCTCTTTAGTAATAAAGAAAGAATGTTGAAGAAAATAAACTAAAAAGAAAGAAAACAATGTAAAGACATGAAATAAAATGAATTTTTTTTAATTTAATATAAAATAATAAAATTAAATATTTATTCAATTATAAAATTACCTCATATAATTATTAATTAATTTTATTAATAAAATATATTTTTTAAGTAATATTTTTAAATTATTATATTATTTTAATAATATATATATTTTGATATATAATTGTAAAATATTTTATTATAATTTTTTTCTAAAAATATTTAAATTAATAAAATAGTATCATATTATAAATAAATATATTAAATTATTTATTTGATTTTTATAATCATTTTATATTTATGATATTTTATTAAAATAATAATTATACATATTAATAATAATTTATTTAAATGAGGATAATTTTATAAAATAATATTTTTTACTTTTTATTTTTTTCTCATAAATTATATACTAATGAAAAATAAATATAGTAAGAAATTAAATTTTTCACTCCCTGTTTCCCAAAATTAACATAGCCCAAGATTTTTAACCACTAATAGAAACGTAGGCAAATTTAGTGGTGTCGGTGACTCCACCACATACCACCCCATTCAAACACATTAACACGAGCTGTTACAAAAGCATAACAATAACAACAAAATGTTTAAGCCTACATGGTGGACTAAGGTTTCCTTATTCAGTGGCATAACATTTACACATTTCCCTGACCAGGTGGTGTTGTTTAAGGGGTGGTGACAGGATTTAAAGACATATCCTTTATTTGAAACTGATCCAACAAACCCAAGTGAGCTTGAAGGAGCCAAATATGAGTGAGAAATTCAGGGCCATTTGTAAGTTGATGAGCATGCATATCTACCCTACATTGAGTACCAGCATAACACAGAATTTCAATCCACAACTTTTCAATGAATACCCAATTGTCATGTTTGTCTTCTGGAGCAAGGAGCCGTTTTGCGACTTCACGAGCGTGAAAAAGAACAGATAAAACTGGTTTTTCTGTGGCTTCATAACTTGGTATGCTTTTGTCATCTTCAAGCAATTTCCGACAAGTTTCAGGTGAGTTTTGTTGTTGTGGAGAAAAATTGACATGTCTAAAGTATTTCTTGGCGTCTATTACTGTGTCATGAAGAGTTATCGACCCTGCTCCTACGGGCAACATGTGACGTTGCTTGACCAGGAGGTAAAACATGTAATCAGACATCTCTTTGCTATTCCTCCTTGTGACTTCAGATCTTGGCTCGTGGCTGGAGTAATAAAACAGTTCCGTAGCAATGTGCCATATGATAATGGTTCTGTGAAATTCAAGTTCACTTGAAAAGATTTGATCATTGTTTTCCGATAAAAGATTCCTATATCCAGGGGTACCTGAAGGATTTGACTGTGATTTACCCTTCAAGCTTTCAAAAATGGTTTCAAGTAAATTATTAGAGGTTGAGCAACTAACACACTTGGATGTGCTTTCTAACTTGTTCATTGGGAGGAAATCTCCCTCCATCTTCAAACTTTTGCTGGAAACCAAATGGGAGAAGGTCAACTGTCCCAAAGAAATTGGTCCACTTTTTAAAAACAGAAACAAGTGAAGACAATTTTGAAGTAAACAAAAGTCGCTCAAACCCTTGATTGAAAAGTACAGCACTGTCCATCTGGAAATGGTAACCAATATAAAGGCATGTATTTCCCCGATTATTGCTCCAACCAACAACAAGTATGTAATGATGTGATCCACGACTTGGTACTCCTTCTCTTCACTTAAATTAGCATATAACACGAGCACAACAATGGTGGTACTTAGAGTGATTAAGCGAGAAATGAAACCCCAGATGCCATAATTTGCAAATGCCTTGGTGTAGAATACATCGTACAATGTTTTAAGTTCAAATTTCACCCATGTAAAAAGAATGGAACAATTGGAATCTTTCACACTTTGTAGTTGTCGTCTATCTTGAGTAATGTCCAACGGGGTCAACACCAAATCGACAAAAAGGCTTATAAAGATATAGATGGTTCGAAGAGATACTCTCAATTCCTCTTGGCCTATGCTTGATTGTTCCCATTGTTCACTCCTCCTAGAAGAATCCAATAATGAATTATGGAAAGAATCCCTAAGGTGTTTGACACTTCCACGATAAAGAGACCAAGTCCTTTCCCCGTACTTGATAAACCCAATAATGAGCACAGGAATGGTAAGATATGAAAGCCAGATTCCTTTCCAAGACAAAATAAGTACGTAGACAGTGAGGATGGTTTGAGAAACCAAACCAACAAAGTTCCTCCGCCATAACTCATTGTCTTCTAATGCATAAGCGGTGATGGTATCAGGACCCCCAAGGTGCATTAGAAAAAAAGGAGCCCAAAATGCCAGAAGCTGAGGATCAACACTCTTTGGTTGTTCCCTTTTATTGTAAATGTTTCCAAGATTGCTGGAGATGACACCCATTGCCACTGCTGCTATCCAATCTGCTAGCAAGTATGCAGACCACAGAATTGCTTTTGTCCACATGTTGGGTTTATATATTGTACGATTACCTAGTGCTGTTAAAATGATCTGTGTGAGAAGGCTAATCAAAATAAGTCCTCGTATCTCCCATTTGTCCCACCATTCTTGCACATGATCTGGGATGATTTGAGCTAGCCTCCTATGCCCTTCTATGGACATCCACGTTCCTATCACTGAATATGAAATTATTGGTGATTGCTGTCATGACATGATGATGTGGAGAAAAGGTAAAGAGAGCCAAATGATAAAGATTGATGGATTTAAGATGTTTAAAGAGCTACCATTTCACTCCCAAACTTACTTGGAAGCAGCATCATTCTAGTTTCTCACTTTATTGAGGTATTATGCTTTTGATTTCTCTGATAGAGAGGATATCAACTGCAAAAACATAGGGACAAGTTACTTGAATCGGACCTTAAAAACATATATGGTTATTACATCATTTAAATTTCACATATACAACTTTTTTTCTCATTATTTTTTATATGCTTTACTTAAACAAGTGAAACACAACATGCATTTATGTATCTACTTTTTATTTTTATATTATTCTTTTTAAATAATTATTTTATTTTAAAAAAAGTTATTTTATTTTATTTTCTACTCTTTATATGTATCACAATTTTTTTATAGTGTTAAAATAACTATATTCTCTTTGGTCTTTTTATATCATAATAAATATAGCTATTTTTATTTAATAAAAAATAATATATTTATATTATTAAATCTCATACGATAAAATTATAATATATAAATAAGTATAAACTTCTTTTTATTAAGTCGGATTTGTAAGATTAATTTTAACATATTACTAAAAAAGATTTTTTTACGTATTAAATGATAAATAAAAAATTATTATAAATTGTGATAAAATATGTGACGATGTCATAAATTTTGTGATAAAGTTAAAAATATAAAGATTTTATTACAATTATATGTCATTTTAGAAAATATCATCATCAAAGCGTTCATAAATAAATTTTTATTTATCTAAGTGATGAAATTTTATGTCAAAAATAGTGGATCACTCGTTATTAGGTCACAAATGTCATGACAAACTAAAAAATATTTAATTTATAAGCTCATTATTATCGCTTAAGTAAAGATTTTGCTAGACTTAAACGAAAATTTTGTTTAGCTCAAGTGAGAGATTGATCTTTCTTAAGTGATTGAGTTAATTTTTAAAATTTTGTTAAGTCATGGTTGGTTAAGCAAAAATTTTGTCTGATTTTAGTGAAATTTTTGCCTAACTTAAGTAAATTTTTTATCTAATTTAAGCAAAAGATTGATCTTCCTTAAGCGAGAATGAGTAAGTTTTTTAAAGTTTTATTAAGTCATGGTCGCTTAAGCGAAAAATTTATATAACATAAGCCACGAATTGACCTTGCTTAAAGGGGATTGTTAAAATTTTGTTAATTCATGGTCATTCAAATGTGAGTTATGAATCGTTTAAGCGAAAATATAATTCGTGTCTTATCTGCTTAAACAAATGTATGATTTGTGTATCATCCACTTAAGCAAAATATATCGTACGCTTAAGTGACCATTTTTTTCCATATATAAAAGGATTGCACAAAATGTCAAAAATGCAAAGAAAGAATAGTTAAGGTATGAGTGAAGCGAATGTCACTTATGCATCAAAATTTGCTTGTTTAAACGAGAGTCTTTTAAGCTATTATTAACTTATGCTTAAGTGACTCTCGCTTAAGATGTTGTTAATTTATGTTTAAACGAATCTCGCTCGTTTAAACAGTTTAACTTATGCTTAAGTGAATATTATTTAAAATTATATTAACCCACACTTAAGCGATTCTAGCTTAAATTATTGTTAATCCACACTTAAGTGATGCTCACTTAAGTTGTTGTTAACCCATGCTTAAGACATGCTCATCAAGTTAATGTTAACTCACGCTTAAACTACACTCGTTTAAATTGTTGTTACCTATTAAGAATTTTAGTGTGAATTTGAAATCCCATGTTGAATATAAATGAGAAAGATGACTTATAAACGAGAAATACCCATAACTTAATGCTTTAAAATTTTGGGTTGAAGGTGGAATCATATTCTTTTATATAGTTGACTCGTGTTTTATTTGTAAAAATCTTCATATTATTAGTTCCCTTGAATATACCCAACTTTGGTATCAAAATCAATGGTTCATGTGGTGACCAACTCAATGGAGTACGATTTAGAGTAGGTGTAAGATCCTTGATTATGGATATTCACTAGTGCAAAAAAGGGCTTCTACGTCACCTAATTGTCATCGCATGTAAAAATATTCGACGTAAATAAAACGCGATGACAATTTTGTAAATAAGAGACAAAAGTTTTACGCCGTACATCCCAGCACACGACGTAAAAAGCTTTCTTTTACGTCGTGCCACCCAGGTGCGACGTAAAAGAGTGCTTTTTACGTCGCGTGCTGGGATGCGCGACGTATAAAGTCCCTTTTATTCCCCCCAGACCCACTCTCTCGTCTCGCGCAGCCAGGGTTTTTGAGAACGACGATGAGAACGACAACAACAACTACCTCTGCACACCATTTTCGATCAGTTTGACAGTGAAAAACATCAACATTATGTCATTTTACAAACTTGATATTTCTCCCCGATTGGATTCGAGTTTGAAATCATTTTTCGTCTACACTCGAGGTTAGTGTTCTATGTCATTGCTATATGTCTAAATTGAATCCGTGATTGTTTTTGGGGATCTCAATCACGTTATAGTATGAATGTCTCAACTGGATTGTTATTGGAATGTAATTATTTGTTTATTTGTTTGAGTGCATTTTCGGTTTACACACTCCATTGTTATTGGAACGTGCTTTGTTGTTTGTATATTAATTTCTTTTTACATATAATTTTTAAATCTCTAGGAGTGACGAAACTTTATAACTGAAAGTGATGAAGATCTTATTGAAATACTCTATCAAAGATCTTGTTGATTTGATGAAGTCAAGAATGAAGTCAAAGGCAACTTTGTGGCAGTCAAGTGTCACTTAGATTAAAGAGTAGTAGGATTAGTGTGTCTGCAGCTCTGCTTATGTATAATCATTTTTATCTTTTCTGCTGCATGGGGTTTCTTCACTTAAAAGATTTTGCAAAATGCCTCTAAAAGTGTTTAAACGGTCAAAACCAAAGTATTTTGATAAAAGCTTTCATAATCAACTATTTTAACTAATAGAATATAAGCTTTATCAACTAAAATGTTCTTCACACTTTTATAAACAAGTTTTTAACTGATATAATTTCGAAATAACCGATTGTTTTCATTAAAGAAAGTTTTGAAAACCTTCTGTCAGTATTTTAACTGATACAACTTTGAAATAACCGATTAAAATCACTTAAAATGTGTCAGAGAAGTGTTTTGACAGTATTTTAATCGATACAATTTCCTTTTAATCGATTAATTTCATTTGGCATACTGTATGACCGATCAGAATGTGATTATGATCGATTAGAATTTAGTTATGATCGATCAGAACTATTTTAATCGATTAAATTACGTTTCAATCGATTAAATCAACTTAAGAAAATTTATACTACGCGTTTTAATCGATTAATACGAGTTTTTATCAGTTAAAATCACTTGGAAGAGTTTACAAGAAAGTTTTGCAGTATTTTAATCGATTGAAACACGAAACAATCGATTAAAACATATTAGAAGATTTTTTACAAAAAATTTTAATTGATATAAATGTTGTCGTATCAGTTAAAACAAATCTAGAAAATAATCAATAACGTTTTAATGGATTAAAAGAAGTTTTAACAGATTAAAATAAGACTTTTAACAGATTAAAAGATTATTTCAACAGATTAATTAAACCAGCAGTTTTGAAATCTTCTATAAAAACAGAGTTGCTTGAACTTTTTAAACATCATCTGAAATACATCTTTGAGCAATCAATCAAGCAATCAAAAGTGCTACTTTCAAGAAAGAATCACGCTAGTTTTTGTGAAGTTCATCAAAGTTCTTTCTTGAGGCAAAACTGCATTCTTTTGAAGAAGAAACAACATATTGCAGAACTGCATAAAACTGGTTTGAGCGTTTTAGTTTCTTCTGTTTGTTTCTTTACATTCTTTTCTGTATTGTTGGTGCCTGGAATTGTGGGCACTGGTTTCTCTGCAGCTGGAATTTGGTTGTAGAGGTTGTCAAGAACTGGAATTTGGTTCTTGGTGAAAGGTTAGGTGCAGGAACTGAAATTTTGGTTCTTGTGGTAGAATGTGTGTAAGGTTAAGGTTGTAATCTGTAAAACATTCAATCTAGTGGAACCCAGTTGGAATTTGGCTAGAGACTGGACGTAGCCCTGGGATTGGGTATACCAATATAAACCTTGGTGATATCTTTCTAAACCTTTCTTTTCTTTAATTTTGTTGCTGCTTTTATTTTCTTTGATTGCTTGCTGTGTGATTCAAGAACAGATCTGAAATCTTATTTTTTTTAAATAGATAATCTGTTAATTGCGAAAATATTTCAAAGATCAATTCACCCCCCCTCTTGATCTCAGCCTCTTTTTCTAACAATTGGTATCAAGAGCAAGGTTCTTGAGAGTTATTCAAGTTTTTCGATCCATGGCTGGAAAATTTTTTGAGGGTGCTTGTATTGATAGACCTCCACTGTTTTGTGGAACAGATTATTCATTTTGGAAGATTAGGATGAAGATCTTTATTGAATCTGTTAGTATAAATGTTTGGAATATCATTGAACAAGAAACTGATATTTTTAACAAAGATTGGTCTAGCTTAAATGACTATGAGAAAAAATTAATCCAAGATGATTATATTGCCAAAAATATTATTATATCTGCACTTAACAGAAACAATTTTTTCAGGATAGCACATTGTCAAACTGCTGCACAAATGTGGAAAACCCTTGAAATGACCTATGAAGAAACTACAGAGACATGCTTAATGGTCAATTCGGATTCTCCACTAACCAGTGTAAGTTCTGACTCAACAACTACTCTGAACTATAGTTCTTTACAAGATGCCTTTTATGAAATGCATGTTGTAGCTAAAAGATTAGAAACTGAAAACAAAAGATTAAAAAGTATGAATAATCTATTAGAAAACAAGATCACTATTCTTGAAAAGAAAATTGTTGATGAAGAAATCAAAAATGAAAATTCAGATATAGGTAATAACTTTGATTGCATGTG